ATTCCTGCATCTTGCATAGTGGGAGCTGATTGCTCTGCACAAACACGGTTGCTCTTAAGGAAGACACATTTTTTTGCCCCACTGAGTTCAGTATCAGTAATCACATCATTAAGGTGGAAGAATGCCCTGTTCTCCTTGAGCTGACTTACTACTTAGTGGTATTTATGTATTATAATTTATTAAATAATATTAATAATAATTGCTGTACTTTCTTTTTTTCCCCCTTGATTTGTCAATACAAAATAATGCAGCACCACACCAGGGATGCTTGCTCTAACTTTGAGCAGGCTAGTGCGCATCTTCTACCTCCAGAACTGCATCGCATGGTACAAATGCCTCTGACACGCTACTTCTTTTCCTACGACTATGTACTAAATCTATCTTTCTTTTAGATGTTCTATACTCTCAGTAATAAATGGTGACCTCTGAGAAACAATCCTATAATTAAATCTCTGTTCAGCCCCCCATATATTTACAGCTTTTGAAACAAACCGCTTCCCTAACCTTGTGAGCCTTAATGAATCAGCTATTGGGTTTCAGTACATTCTTTGCATTTTTTTGATTCACTTCAGTTAAAAACTTCAAGTAACTATAAGAAGAGCAGACACTTTGCATTGTTCACATGTATCAGGGTGCTCTTGAGTACAGATAACTTTGTGAGATTCCTTTCCTATAGCAGGAAGCAATTGTTCTGTGCCCCAGAGGAACATATTTGTTGAAGGGAAAAGACGCGAGGCACCACCTCGGGAAAAAGAACCAATTGCATCAAAGTGTCCCAGCATGAAAGGTACGTACTTCTTATCTATTTCCTCATTTTTAGGGGGGATTCTTTTTGTTCCTCTGCCAGTGCAGTGGGCATATGTACTTGCAAGAAACCAATCTGAAGAGAAATTTTCCAGGAAAAGTGCAATTCTTCTCACTGCAAGACGACAGCAGTTGTTTTATGTTACGGTCTAGCTCTGCTTCTTTTCTCAGTTTGCACCCTCTGTTAGATTCCATGCGAGCAGGATGGGTCCCTCAGTTACCAACAACTTTGGCGCCCACACACCTGATCATGTGACATGCTGGGCACTTTCCGCTTCCATCACATAAACCAGATTTACCAGTAGGTGGTGTCTCACAGAACATGGGCCTTCTTAGAGCCAGTACAAGTGTGGTCAAGGAAAGGCATAAAACTTGATAAAGTGTACTTAAGAACTCAATATATACAGCAAATTAAAATACCGACACTAAGTACTTTGATGGATAGGCTTCATCCTTTTCACCAGAGAATTCCAAAATATATTTGGCAGTGTAGAAAATGTATCAATCTGATTGTGGCAGGTAAACTGTTACCCAATTGCTACTTTACAGTTTTGGAGTAAAAAGGAAAAAAGTTCAGATTTTGGCTTTAAACCATCCCAAAAAGTGAAGCAGAAGCACAGAATTTCTGCTGCTTTCTGGCCTGAACTGATGGGAACCAAAAGTGCTTATTTACCTTAGCAGGAGAAAAGGAAGCACAGGTAAAGCCACGTCTTCCTGCAGAGCAGCAAGGGCCAGGTAAAGAGCGCTGTGGCTACTTTATGCTGCAACTTGCCTTGCAAAGCTCTGTTTGTAGCTATAAGTGGGCTTACCCATGCAACCAACGCTGTTACATTTTTAGCCTCATCACTGGCCATATTTTGTTACCTTCGTGAACTGCCCATATCCAGGGTGTATCTAGATGCTACTGCCAGAAGAAGTAATTCCTAGTTCAGGCAGAAGGTGTCCTTTGGAGTGCTCAACTGGGGATGCTCCAGAGGTGCACACACCACCTATGCAGTGGAGAGAAAGGATATATCTGGTCTTTGTGTTTACGGTCCACTTGTGAGCTTGCTTGCAAGATTTCCTCAGCTAGAGGAAATACAGCCTCTTTTGCCTTCCTTTTGAGGAACGGTGCTTTTAGAATAATGGACAGGTAAAACCATTTTCCACCCTAGAAGACCTGTGCATGAGTGGGAGATGAGGTTATTCAAACCACCACAGCATTTTTGGATGAGCAAATTTTGCGTGCTTTTTAAAGAAGTAAACGTGTGTTATTTTAATCCCTCAGAAACAAACCACACTGAGCTGGAAAAGAACCATCACTGTAAAGAAGGAAAGAAGCAGAAATGGATTTGTGAGGAGCCGAGAAATGCACCTAATGCAGTTAGAGGCAAAGGTATTTTGAGAAAACCGTTGGCTTATTCCTTGTTATATACTACAGTCTTGGGTGATTTAGCACCACCTAGTTAATTTCTGTTCCTAGTGCCAAAGACAGGCAATCCCGCTTTGGATTGGACAATCCACAAAGAACATCTTCTTCTTCTTGTCTTCCAGCCTTCAGTCTCTGGCAGTACGTCAACTGTTGAGTAATAGCACAACATTATTGTTCACGCTTGTTTTTTCACTTTTAGGAGTTGACACTTCAGACCCCAAAGTAAAACCAGGTTACCAACAGAGGGGTCCAGGGAAGGATGAAGAATCTAGTTCCTCTGTTTCTGACATGAGAGAAGCTGGAAGAAAGACTTATTTCAATTCTTTGGAACCCCGAAGATCAGCATTTGTAGTCTACCGTTCTGTCACCGTCACCCAAGAGCCAAAGTTCAATGGGTCTACTGGTGGGTTCCAGCTTAAAATGGAGGATTCTTAAAATGCCTCCAATATCCCTGTCTGTATTGCACTGCCGCGTTCAATTTTGTCCCGGCAAGAGACTATCAAGTTAGTTATGCCTAAACATGCGCAAGAGTATTAAGATCTGCAGTTAGTCAGACAGAATATTCATGGACAATAATTTAGCCACCTTCATAGCAGGAATTAATTTCTCAGCCCAGCATAGAGGGATGAATGCAACGATGTGCCGGTGTGCATGAGTATACTGATCCTCCTTTTTACAGCACCTTTTATGGGATTTATTCTTTGGAAGTATTTAATAAACCTCAGAATATTCCACCTTTAACTTCTCCTTCTACTCTAACGATTGATAGCAATAGTAGAAAGAGTTTTGCAGTAGCAAGTCAGTTTTCTGTCAAGAGGCATTTCTTGTTCAATTTTTTCCTCTGAGGAAGGAATGAAGGAATGACCTTGCTTTGCATGGTAGTTGTCCACAACCAGGATTTCACTGGAGCTTTGAATGTGGTGGATTTAGGGTCATTTTCATACTTTATCATTATTTGTCATCGTGAATTAACAAGGGCTTGGGTCTTACTCAAACTTCGGTTATCGATGTGCACGGAGTGCAAAGTTTTGTGATGTAGATCATTACTTTTTCATATTATTTATGTTAGACAGAGGACTGATTTCATTTTTCACACTATTCATTCCGGATGGTATTTTCCTTCCTCTTTTCCCCCTTCTTTGTCCCATTGATAGCCACCTATGTTTTTGACATTAGAGCGAGCATAACCATTTTCACTACCTTTCTTTTCAGTGGTACGTGAGCCATATGGTGGGAAATGTGCCAAACAGAAGGATCAGCCTGACACAAACAGGAGATGCTGGACCCAAATGGAGAACTATGGTAATGTTCTTCAAAGTGCTAGAGAGAAAGCCTGGATTTAATACTGGCTTGTATTGCAGAGGTGATGCATGATTCACCTGATGCAACCGTTGATACTTCGGCCAATGTCATATTCGATTCACATATCGGGCTAAGAGAGTCTTTCCTGAGATTGCAGCTGAAATTAAGAGGCAGTGTGTATGTTTTTCCTCTAGGCAAATACACTTCAGGATCTTATAATGTGCCAACTTGGAGGAAAAGAAATCCACGTGCAAAAACGTTCTCCAAGGCTAAAACAACCATTCAGGTAACCGTTTGATAGAAAGTTTTACAATTCAGTCTTTTTAGCAAGAGTGACATGCCTCTCCCCACCCAGAAAATGTAACACTGCTCTGAAACTTCCCCAACCCAAACCCACAAGATTCTAAGCAGCGCTGAGTCGTCCGAAAGAGCCGTTAATGGTTTCATTTGTGTGCAGACACATAATTTTGCCTGCATAACGAACCCGTGATTTCTAGTTTTCCATAGTAGTACCAATACGAGATCAAAATATGTCCCTGCCTTCCAAGCAAGGAGCTACAACAAGTGGGTTTGGGCGTGTAGCGCTGGGCAAAGCAGAGCAGAGACTGTGCGCGTGCGATCTATTTGTCTCTCTGCTTGATTGCTCCTGAAGCACCTGCAATAGCTGAGCGATGATCAGCCGAGGTCCAAATTCATGAAAGGACTCAGGCTACAAACCATTCATGAGGTTCCCTAAGGGTCGTGAATACATTTTACAGCTGCCTTGAAAGCAGAGATTAGAATCTCTGTCTTGTGTCCCTCGGATGAATGGCCAGACCTTTAGTCTGCGGTCTCTGCTTCATTGGGACATTTCCTTCTTATCCCCCATCTCCTTGTCCCGCATGGACATAGCAGGGACTTCTCTCTGCAGCTGCACCATTCAAAACGTGGACTAGTAGAGCCCCCTCTTAGTTTGTGCAAGCTTAGCCTAGAGCGGTCTCGTTGGTTTTTGGAGAACAGGAAGAAGCCTGCTCCAGGAGATTAGTCCAAAGTGTGGGGGGGGGCGGGGGGAGGGGGGCTCAGAACACTGCAACTCCGAGCTTTTGTGTTTCAAAGCCCTCCAGGGAAGGTTCTGGCGGAAAAATGCTTGAACGGAACATTGTGAAACATGGGTGAATGATATTGGGATGAAATACATGTATTCCTCTTGCTTCCACAAGTGTGGAGAGTTCACTTCTTAAAAATTTTCTGAAAGAGCATATAGTCTTACTCTAATAAATTATGTACAGAATGTTCCGTCTGTCTATTTTGACAGCAGAGCCAAGAAGCCATGGAAGAGAGTAGAAAATGGAGAGCAATCTGTGGAACGGAGAAAGAGATGAAGCGAGGGCGTCAATTTACAAGAAAAATCTAAGTTGAAATAGGGAACTTATCCACTGGGAATTCCAAAGATGATAAAATTGCAGATTCCAAAAAATAAGATGTAGGAAGTACACGGTAATATTTAGAAACTGACAAAAATGTAAATTTGTGTTTAAAAATAGCGTTTGTATATTCACAAGTGTGCAGTAAACCTACCTAATATAAATAAAGATGTATTACGTTTTACATACATTCTTTCCCTTGCTTGTAACAGGACTGTAATCTGTTAAAACAAATTCCACTGAGCTTTGACAACACTGACTTGACAAGCACAACAGCATGCCTTTTCCAAACTCGTCCCTCAACTTTAAAGCTATTTGCAGAAAACTCTGCACCTCAAAGCCACGAAACATCTTTCTCTCCCCAACCCCACCACCGGCAGCGCCCCGTGTGTGGAGGAGCAAGTGATCCACAGCACAGGTAGCCTGAGCAGGTGCAGGCTGTGCCATGCTGCGGCTGAGGGAACTGGGGTTGTTCAGCCTGGAGAAAAGGAGGCTGAGGGGAGACCTCACTGCTCTCTACAGCTGCCTGACAGGAGGCAGTAGGCAGGCGGGTGCCAGTCTCTTCTCCCAGGGAACAAGTGACAAGAGGAGAGGAAACGGCCTCAAGTTGCTCCAAGGGATGCTTAGATCAGACGTGAAGAAAAGTTTCTCCACCGAAAGGTTTGTCAAGCACTGGAACAGGCTGCCCAGGGAAGAGGATGAGTCCCTGTCCCTGGAGGCATTTAAGGGACATGGCACTTAGGGTCATGGCTTAGTGGTGGACCCGGCTGTCTTACATTTTGGACTCGATGATCTTAAGGGTCTTTTCCAACCTAAATGATTCAATGATTATGCAAGGAAGACAGGGCTCAATGAGAGATCAACGGTTCCTGGGAGGTGCTATCTACTCTTGACGGAAATCAGGGGTACGGAAAGGGATCAGTGCTTCGTGTGATCAAATCCTTAATTAAGATTTCCCTCTTGCAGCTTCAAAGGCAACATGATCCATAACAATAATAAACACACGTGCCTGTTCTCCGGGTCACAGATGCATACCTCCTCTGTTCCTTACTTCCCTTCTGCCTGGGTGTCCCTGTCATTAGGGCCCCAGACAGGAGTGAAAGGAAACTGAGGATACCCCATGTTCCATGCAGAGAGGCCCTAAAGATGGCATTTCTCTGTTTTCACAGACTTGCTGTGGGACACATCCCCCACCCTGGTTTAAACTAGCAGGCCTGGAAAATAAGCCCTGGGATACAAGAATCCCTTAAGCCTTCTTTCAGCTGGTTTCTTGGGCTTTCCACCCAGCCTGGCCCCCAGTCAGGGTTGCCCTAGAGCTGCCAGATAAAGCCAGCAGTTTACTGAGGTAACCACACCCTGCAGAGTACTGAAATCAGCTACACACAAGGCAAGACAAGAATTCTCATTTCCTGCTATAAGAAGTTGATATCCCAACACACTCTTTGCATTCACCAGTTAATTACTGTATATGAAATCTAAAAATCTAGTTGTAGCATCTTGCCTAGTTTAACACCAAGTTTCCTTAGCAATTCAGGTAAAGGCAAGAACCCCAGTGATGCCATGATATCCACAAATACCCAGCCACAACTAGTCCACATTTCTAGGAGGACTTCTGTAGCGAGGGCTTCTGTAACAGTTTCACTGCAAATGGATTCAAGTATCTCCCTGTATAATCATCCTCCCTCCCTCCTCTTTCCCCAGTCAGTTCTGACTTGTAAGCCGTGTCTCTTTCTGCTAGCAAAACACAAAGCAAGTTCTTGTCTCACAGAAGTCTGAAGACAGAATTCGGAATTCATGAAATGAGATCCTTCTATGCACTTTTGTTACATTACATGGCTGGTTTATATTTTCGTAATCAGATTTGTAACCATAACATACAGCATGGATGAAGTTTTTGTGACGATTACATGAAAAATTTTCAGGGTAGTGAGAAAATGCATCCATTGCTTTCCCCACCACCACCTCCTTCTTCCCCAGCAGTTACAAGCCCCTGTATCATCCCTGCTTGCACTTTGGAAAAAATAGCGTATACCAGTTTCTGATCTAACTGCCTGTTGGCTTTTTCTATGTGAAGGAATGACTTAGGGAGCTATACGAGGTTAACCCCAGACAGCAACTACGCACCACCGAGCCACTTGCTCATTCCTCCCCAGTGCGATAGGGGAGAGAAATGGAAGGTTAAAAGTGAGAAAACTCGTGGGTTGAGATAAAGGCAGTTTAATAGGCAAAGCAAAAGCCGCACATGCAAGCAAAGCAAAACAAAGAATTCATTCCCTGCTTCCCACTGGCAGGCAGGTGCTCAGCCATCTCCAGGACAGCACGGCTCCAACATCCATAACAGTGACTCGGGAAGACAAACGGCATCACTCCCAACATCCCCCTCTTCCTTCTTCTTCCCCCAGATTTATATGCTGAGCATGATGTCATACGGCATGGGATACCCGTTTGATCAATTGGGGTCAGATGTCCTGGCTGTGCCCCTTCCCAGCTTCTTGTGCACCCCCAAGCTGCTTGCTGGTGGGGTGGGGTGAGAGGCAGGAAAGGCCCTGATGCTGTGTGAAGGCTGCTCAGCAATAACTAAAACATCCCTGTGTTATCAACACTGTTTCCAGCACAAATCCAAATCATAGCCCCCTAATAGCTACTATGGAGAAAATCAACTCTATCCCAGTAAAAACACAGGGAGGCACCGCAACATGACCATTACCAAGAGGGCGTTGGTAGTGAGAGAGGAACAATTAAGTCATTGATGTTTGGGCAACAATTTCAGCTCCTTCAGCCAGAAGTCAAACAGCAAGGGGACAGAGTCACCCAGATGGATTCAAGTTCACTGTGCAGCCAACAGATAGCAGTAGGTGTTGCTGCTGCCAAGATCAGGAAACACAAGTTGGAGGTCTACAGCTAGAAATAAAAAAAGCCGTACAGTGAGAAAAACTTTGGGCACAAGGATTTTGGTTAAAAAGAGTTAAACAGTAAGGCTTGCCATGGTGGTATCAAAGATTTGTCTCTCAGACCGCAGTTCCTATGGCAAGAAGTTGGGTATTACTGAAGCCCCGACAAATGGGTTTGTTCTATTTTATGTTCGAGAAACACCAGAATGGGAGACTCTCTGAAATGGTCCCATTTTCCGTACTTTACGCTGAAGCAGTGGAGATCAGGGAAGATGTTCAAGCTGGACAGGCCATGTAGCACCATCATGCTGATGTCACGAGCTGGAGGAGCGGTTGGCAACCATGGAACCCTAACATTCTATACCGGCTAGCAACTGCCTTGGTCGGTTCAACAAGCCTGGAGAAGGTACCACCTCCTCTGTCCAAGTGTATTTTGCTGTCTGTTGGAGTTTTTTTCCAAAACAGCGGCAGAGCTAAGATCCTGAAGGTCCAGGTTTTGAAAGAAAGCTACTGCTTTCAGGATGAGATTATGATTTACCTGAACGTTGATGGCTTTAACGTTTGCATGTATCTTCTGCCGGTATTAAGAGAGTGGAGGAGAAGCGCAAGAGGTGGAAATGGCCGCAGCTGGGAGTGACCGCTATTTCCATTCTTATTCCCCCTACGCACAGGTAAATGCTGTAGATTTTAGAGGGGTTTGCGTCCTTGATTTTCTTGATAGATCCGTGTTGAAAGGGCGGTCCGATATGTGAAGTTAGAAGGTGATATGTCACTCTGTCTGGGTAACGGCCACATCTGTAGATCAAAGATGGGATTTTGGAAGCGGTGAGAAGAGCTAATGATCATCTAAATTATGGACAGTTTCTCCTGGGGACTGGATTCAGGTACTCAAGGGACACCTGAGTTAAAAATCATGCATCCCTTTCTTATTGAATCAACATCATATTGGTTCTGAGTAAATAGGCTGTGTTTATCATTTCTGCTTACAGCATCTACCTGACTTTCTGCAAAACCAGTTGTTTAAAGCAAAGTCCTTCAACATGGGTTTGCCCTTCAAAGAAATATTTATATTCCACCTGGTGGAAATCCCGGGGTGGGGGTAGGGCTCTTCGTTATGGCATCCATTCCAGCCCCGGGGATTTAGGTGCTAATGCCTGGGCGACGGGCTTTGGCTCCAGATCCCAGCATGTCTCAGTGGATGGCCCCATTGTGCTGACTACAGTCCCACAGTGACATGTTTTGGAGGTGCTGCTCCTGGATCTAGCTGTTAATGCCTGGAGCTGGGCGAAACCTACCTGCAGGTTCTCAAATATTCCTCATTTTCCCACAGACCCATGTCCTTTAATAATACGAGAGGATTAATATCAGACCTGCCTTTGTACAGCAGATTTCACTGGAGATTGACCCAATTATGCCATTGTGCAGGAAAGGAAACTCAGCCACGTGTCACTTAAGTGACTAGTAGATTTTTTTTTTCTTCCCAGCCTCTCATGACAAGACTGCAGTACAGTAAGTAAACAGCTTTACTCCTGTTCTGATCTAGGACCAGTTTTACATCATGAAAGCTCCATTGACCTAACTCAAGATACCTTCAGAGTTATCTGGAGCTGAAGAAAACTTCAAAGATAACTTTCAGTGTTCTAAAATATCTGAGCATGATATCTAAGCTATCACAAATTCTTAACCCACTTAGTCCATTTTTATTGCTTTATTTATAATACCTGAAAGCTGTTTTCTCCTGCAGCAGAAGTACAGCAACATCTCCTGTTTGTGGGAAACTCAGCCCTTCGGCTGTGTGAGGATCAGCTGTGCCTTCCATCATAGCAAACCTCGTAATATAAATGGACTTTTTCTGCCACCAAATGACAGTAAGTAAAAATATCTTCTCAACAATTTGTTCATGGGAGTAAGGAAATACACAAAAATGTCCTTCTGGTACTTACTTCCAGAGCATCTGTAATCTATATTCAGGTCAAGAAACATGCCCTGGCAAATCAGTCAGGTATGACCTGCTATCCCTGCAAGTTGAAGGCAATGAAAGGAATTGTACTGGTGTTTGAATAGGGTTGCCGTATGAATTGTTTTAGCTGTCACGTTATGGGTCTTCCTACCGATCATTGGCATGAAAGTCACAAATGGCGCTGTAGGTTGCCAAGATCCGTGGAGCACAAATGTTGCTTTACTGGGGTATTTGCTAGATTAAGTCTCTCCAGTAGCAAGAATGGTTAGTAGGCAGGAAATCATTTGAGAGAAATGGAAAGTAGTGTGTGTGTGTGGTGGGGGGAGGCGGCTGGTCGGGCCAATATGAGCAATATCTGTTGACAGAACCTACCGTGTTACATGGATGAGACAGCCCTTGTATAGAGAACATCAGGCGACAGTGCTGTGTGTGCAGGTGTATCTCCAGTTCCTCATTTTGAATGAATTTTTCAGGCTTGATGCAGGCCAATGTAGTCAAGGAATAGTGCCCAAAAGGCACAATCTACTTCATGATTGCTTCAGCATGATAAGGATTTCAAAGCCCTACCTGCCGGTCTGAACCTGGATTTGATGCTCTAGTTCCCTCCTAACAAGATAAATGTAATGCTCTTTTCTGCAGATGCCCCATTGCAGCTGGGTGTCCAAGAAGGGATTCTGCATCCAGCCCATCATCAAGAATCACTCCGAAATCAAGAGAATATTTTACTACCAATTCACCCTCCGCTGATTATAAACCTCAACAAGGAAGAGGACCAAGAGGAGGATGAAGAGGACCATGAAGAGGAAGAGAACTGTAAACAGTTTTTTCCTTTCTTTTACAAGGAAGTAGAAGAGGTTTTTTTTGACTGTTGGAATGTACTTCACAAGCGATCTACTCTAATAACCATTCCATTTTTAGAAAAGAGTTGTTGACGAGGTTTTGAAACAGTTTCCAGCTAATATTCAAAACAGTGGCTCTGGTGGCCACCAGATGTGCGTGAGGCCACATTTTCTAAGTCCTGTGAAATGCCTAGCTGTGTCTTTCCATACAAATCTCTTCCCTAGCTTAACTGAACATGCGTGAGTGTGTTCATAGTTATAGGTACGTTTTTAAAAAATCTGAAGAGGCTTGTGAATTGTTTTAAGTCAACAAACAGTGGTTCTTAATGTGTGTTTTAACTGCAGTTCCATTGTACTGGGAAATACCTAATACAGAGGAATCATTTCTCTGTCCAGAAGCAGGGGTTGCAGTCAGAGTAGAAATAAATCGTGCCGCAAATGAAGTTTATTACGGTCTTTGATTAATAAGAATTGTTTTGTGTAGATACCTCGTAATCTTTTAAAAATACTTCCTACAGGTGTTTCTCACTGGATGCCTAAGACTGCTGCAGATATTGAGGAGGAAAGAGCAATAAAGGAGATATGCTATAAATCTGGTAAGTATGAAATTAGTCACTCGTTCCTAAACAGCAGTGCTGCCAGTATAGTAAACTTTGGGGGTTTTTGTCCTTCTTGGGGTATTTTTAGGAGAGTGTTACAGGATTCAGTACCCTCATGAACACCAGTCAACAAAACCTGTGCCTTCGCCTTGGGAAAAGGAGCTATTAACCTTGGAAGCTACCGAGCGAGACTTGCAGAAAGGCAAGTGCTTTTTGTCTTCTTGGACCATGTTTACCACTTTTACAATTAATGTTCCAGGGAGAGATTATGGCTTAGTTTGCCCCTCCTCCCCACGTTTTAAATTTGGTGACGATAAAGTAGAGTGTATTAAAAAGAGCATAAAAATACTTCATGAAGTTTCCCCCATCTCTACATATATCGTATCATACAGGTGGTGACTACCTGCATAGACTGTGAAGCTCTGTTTGTAGCTATAAGTGGGCTTACCCATGCAACCAACGCTGTTACATTTTTAGCCTCATCACTGGCCATATTTTGTTACCTTCGTGAACTGCCCATATCCAGGGTGTATCTAGATGCTACTGCCAGAAGAAGTAATTCCTAGTTCAGGCAGAAGGTGTCCTTTGGAGTGCTCAACTGGGGATGCTCCAGAGGTGCACACACCACCTATGCAGTGGAGAGAAAGGATATATCTGGTCTTTGTGTTTACGGTCCACTTGTGAGCTTGCTTGCAAGATTTCCTCAGCTAGAGGAAATACAGCCTCTTTTGCCTTCCTTTTGAGGAACGGTGCTTCTAGAATAATGGACAGGTAAAACCATTTTCCACCCTAGAAGACCTGTGCATGAGTGGGAGATGAGGTTATTCAAACCACCACAGCATTTTTGGATGAGCAAATTTTGCGTGCTTTTTAAAGAAGTAAACGTGTGTTATTTTAATCCCTCAGAAACAAACCACACTGAGCTGGAAAAGAACCATCACTGTAAAGAAGGAAAGAAGCAGAAATGGATTTGTGAGGAGCCGAGAAATGCACCTAATGCAGTTAGAGGCAAAGGTATTTTGAGAAAACCGTTGGCTTATTCCTTGTTATATACTATGGTCTTGGGTGATTTAGCACCACCTAGTTAATTTCTGTTCCTAGTGCCAAAGACAGGCAATCCCGCTTTGGATTGGACAATCCACAAAGAACATCTTCTTCTTCTTGTCTTCCAGCCTTCAGTCTCTGGCAGTACGTCAACTGTTGAGTAATAGCACAACATTATTGTTCACGCTTGTTTTTTCACTTTTAGGAGTTGACACTTCAGACCCCAAAGTAAAACCAGGTTACCAACAGAGGGGTCCAGGGAAGGATGAAGAATCTAGTTCCTCTGTTTCTGACATGAGAGAAGCTGGAAGAAAGACTTATTTCAATTCTTTGGAACCCCGAAGATCAGCATTTGTAGTCTACCGTTCTGTCACCGTCACCCAAGAGCCAAAGTTCAATGGGTCTACTGGTGGGTTCCAGCTTAAAATGGAGGATTCTTAAAATGCCTCCAATATCCCTGTCTGTATTGCACTGCCGCGTTCAATTTTGTCCCGGCAAGTGACTATCAAGTTAGTTATGCCTAAACATGTGCAAGAGTAAATTTGATCCAGCATCATTTTCAGAAACAGATTGCAGCAGTATCCACAGACAGAAGTGTAAGGCTCTATCAAGCTCTGCAGTTAGTTGGACAGAATATTCATGGACAATAATTTAACCACCTTCATAGCAGGAATTCATTTCTCAGCCCAGCACAGAGGGATGAATGCAACGATGTGCCGGTGTGCATGAGTATACTGATCCTCCTTTTTACAGCACCTTTTATGGGATTTATTCTTTGGAAGTATTTAATAAACCTCAGAATACTCCACCTTTAATTTCTCCTTCTACTCTAACGATTGATAGCAATAGTAGAAAGAGTTTTGCAGTAGCAAGTCAGTTTTCTGTCAAGAAGCGTTTCTTGTTCAACTTTTTCCTCTGAGGAAGGAATGAAGGAATGACCTTGCTTTGCATGGTAGTTGTCCACAACCAGGATTTCACCGGAACTTTGAATGTGATGGATTTGGGATTGTTTTCGTTTTAAACAACTCCATAAACTGCAGCAGAAATACAGAATTTCTGCTGCATTCTATCCTGAACTGATGGGAACTAAAAGACTCGGTTGGATGGGGCTCTGAGCAACTTTATCTAGTTAAAGGTGTCCCTGCTCACTGCAGAGGGGTCATACTGGATGACCTCTAAAGGTCCCTTCCAACCCAAAACATTCTATGATTCTATGATTTGAGTAAAGTGCGTATTTACCTTAGCAGGAAAAAAGGAAGCACAGGTAAAGCCACGTCTTCCTGCAGAGCAGCAAAGGCCAGGTGAAGAGCACTGTTACTGCTTTATGCTGCAACTTGCCTTGCGAAGCTCTGTTTGTAGCTTGAAGTGGGCTTACCCATGCAACCAACAATGTTACAATTTTAGCCTCATCACTGTCCGTATTTTGTTACCTTCATGAACTGCTCGTGTCCAGGGTGTATCTAGATGCTACTGACAGAAAAAATAATTCATAGTTCAGCCAGAAGGTGTCCTTTGGAGTGCTTTGGTCTCAATGGGCTCAACCGCGGATACTCTAGAGGTCCACCTATGCAGTGGAGAGAAAAGTATCTGGGCAGCTGCTCAGCACTTATGGGACTCTGGTGGATGGGGGGCTTGTGCTCACAGCTGCACCTGAGACAGTCTGAAAATACAGATACATTCAGAGAAAATGAGGGAGATGTCTCCCCAAAAACATTTCTTCAGTTGAGCTCTCTGAGGCCTTACGTACTATGATGACATGCATCTTGCAAATACCATGCATTCGGTCAGTCAGGATTGATAAGGATCATTCCGGAAAAGTGAGAAACTAAAGCATGAGCAGGTAAACTGTAGCTGGTTCTTTACTTCGGAGCCACAGTCATCTTTAACCTGTGTAATATGGTATTTTATTGGAAAACATGAGAGTTATGCATCAGTTACCCTGGACAGGACCTAATTCAATAACAAAGGAGAAAGAAGAACACAGAACTAGAGGTTAAAGGAAATTGCTCTCAACAAATCACAAGCTCATAGAGGTGGGAGGAAGAGAATGGCAGTGCCATTCCCTGTGCTTACCCACAAGCAGCTGAACCATGCTTTCTGTTGCCTTTCTAGGGCACAGTAATACAATTCCTACAAAATTCAATAATCCCAAAAGAGAAGGAGAGGGATCAGGAAGGAGAGCACCAACAGAGAGCATTCCCAGAACAGGTAGCCGGTCCTTTGAAAATGGAGGTAATATACTTTGGTATTGGCTTCCCATTGCTGAACATCATGTGGTAGATAAAGTAACTGAATATATTTTGATTGGGCTATCCACAAAGAACATCTTCTTCTTCTTGTCTTCCAGCCTTCAGTCTCTGGCAGTACGTCAACTGTTGAGTAATAGCACAACATTATTGTTCACGCTTGTTTTTTCACTTTTAGGAATTGACACTTCAGACCCCAAAGTAAAACCAGGTTACCAACAGAGGGGTCCAGGGAAGGATGAAGAATCTAGTTCCTCTGTTTCTGACATGAGAGAAGCTGGAAGAAAGACTTATTTCAATTCTTTGGAACCCCGAAGATCAGCATTTGTAGTCTACCGTTCTGTCACCGTTACCCAAGAGCCAAAGTTCAATGGGTCTACTGGTGGGTTCCAGCTTAAAATGGAGGATTCTTAAAATGCCTCCAATATCCCTGTCTGTATTGCACTGCCGTGTTCAATTTTGTCCCGGCAAGAGACTATCAAGTTAGTTATGCCTAAACATGCGCAAGAGTATTAAGATCTGCAGTTAGTCAGACAGAATATTCATGGACAATAATTTAGCCACCTTCATAGCAGGAATTAATTTCTCAGCCCAGCATAGAGGGATGAATGCAACGATGTGCCGGTGTGCATGAGTATACTGATCCTCCCTTTTTACAGCACCTTTTATGGGATTTATTCTTTGGAAGTATTTAATAAACCTCAGAATATTCCACCTTTAACTTCTCCTTCTACTCTAACGATTGATAGCAATAGTAGAAAGAGTTTTGCAGTAGCAAGTCAGTTTTCTGTCAAGAGGCATTTCTTGTTCAATTTTTTCCTCTGAGGAAGGAATGAAGGAATGACCTTGCTTTGCATGGTAGTTGTCCACAACCAGGATTTCACTGGAGCTTTGAATGTGGTGGATTTAGGGTCATTTTCATGCTTTATCATTATTTGTCATCGTGAATTAGCAAGGGCTTGGGTCTTACTCAAACTTCGGTTATCGATGTGCACGGAGTGCAAACTTTTGTGATGTAGATCATTACTTTTTCACATTACGTTGGACAGACTTCATTCTTCCTGCCATTCTTTTGGGATTATAGTTTACTGTGTCTTTTTTCCCTCTTTGAAATACTCTACTGTCTTCTTGATAGCCACATACTATGCTATAATTTTGAGAAGAAGCCTACAGATGGGATTCTGAGTCTTGTATCATTCTTCTGGGCAGTCTTTCAGATGTAACCACAATTTTACACCTTTTTTTTAATTTTTAACTTGCCAATATAGCTTCATGCAATCTAGTACATCATTTGGGTTTTATTTGCCTTTCTACTTTCAATTTCTGTGATTACTCTGGGTCATTGTATTTTTTCATCTGACACTCATCAAGAAATTTACTGGTAAATAATTTAAATAATCATAAGGTAAGAAAGTGATTCCATCATGCCAATTTCAGTCATCTCTTAGGTGTGTTGAATCTCCATCTTGAGGTGCCTCCCTGTCTTAATGCCCCATAAAAGGAACCTCCTTCAGACAGGGTAAACCCTACTTTCAGATGAAGAAACTCAAGTGAAGTGAGTCCCAACAGCACTGCTTCGTCTGAGGGACATGGGGTTTTTCTTTTCTTCTTGGAGTGTTTGCTTTGATTCCATGTGGACAGATTGGCATAGAGATTACTGAGAGAACATTCTTAATGTGAAGAACACATCAAATTTCCAGGTTAAAAAAGGATAGAACATTAAAAAAAAAAGATGATGAGCAGTTTTCTCATCAGAGCGACCATAACCATTTTCACTACCTTTCTTTTCAGTGGTACCTGAGCCATATAGTGGGAAATGCGCCAAACAGAAGAACCAGCCTGACACAAACAGAAGATGTTGGACCCAAACAGAAAACTATGGTAATCCTTACATGTTGGGTATAAACAGAAAATTTTAGGATTATTGTGCAATCAATAATTTGAATGAATGGAATTAAGGTGGAATTAACAGAAAACCAGAGTATCAATAATATGAACTGTTAACCAACATTTACCAAAAATGGTTAGTCATTAGACAGCTTACTCTGATGCAAAATCAACTGCCTAGCCCACAAACACAACATGGCCTTGCACCTTGTGCTTTCACAAGCAGAGACCAAAAAGCCAATTGTGTTATGGATTTGTTTAACCTAAGAGCAGTTGGTGCCTTTGGGAAGATTTGCAACACTGGAACATTCCCTTTGTGCAAGTCAAGGATGTCCGTGGCAAATCACCTCATTTGGAAGATCCTGTGAGCCTGAAGGAAACGCTGCAAGATTACAAATGCTCTTCAAAGTGCTAGAGAGAAAGCCTGGATTTAATACTGGCTTGTATTGCAGAGGTGATGCATGATTCACCTGATGCAACCGTTGATACTTCGGCCAATGTCATATTCGATTCACATATCGGGCTAAGAGAGTCTTTCCTGAGATTGCAGCTGAAATTAAGAGGCAGTGTGTATGTTTTTCCTCTAGGCAAATACACTTCAGGATCTTATAATGTGCCAACTTGGAGGAAAAGAAATCCACGTGCAAAAACGTTCTCCAAGGCTAAAACAACCATTCAGGTAACCGTTTGATAGAAAGTTTTACAATTCAGTCTTTTTAGCAAGAGTGACATGCCTCTCCCCACCCAGAAAATGTAACATTGCTCTGAAACTTCCCCAACCCAAACCCACAAGATTCTAAGCAGCGCTGAGTCGTCCGAAAGAGCCGTTAATGGTTTCATTTGTGTGCAGACACATAATTTTGCCTGCATAACGAACCCGTGATTTCTAGTTTTCCATAGTAGTACTAATACGAGATCAAAATATGTCCCTGCCTTCCAAGCAAGGAGCTACAACAAGTGGGTTTGGGCGTGTAGCGCTGGGCAAAGCAGAGCAGAGACTGTGCGCGTGCGATCTATTTGTCTCTCTGCTTGATTGCTCCTGAAGCACCTGCAATAGCTGAGCGATGATCAGCCGAGGTCCAAATTCATGAAAGGACTCAGGCTACAAACCATTCATGAGGTTCCCTAAGGGTCGTGAATACATTTTACAGCTACCTTGAAAGCAGAGATTAGAATCTCTGTCTTGTGTCCCTCGGATGAATGGCCAGACCTTTAGTCTGCGGTCTCTGCTTCACTGGGACATTTCCTTCTTATCCCCCATCTCCTTGTCCCGCATGGACATAGCAGGGACTTCTCTCTGCAGCTGCACCATTCAAAACGTGGACTAGTAGAGCCCCCTCTTAGTTTGTGCAAGCTTAGCCTAGAGCGGTCTCGTTGGTTTTTGGAGAACAGGAAGAAGCCTGCTCCAGGGCTCAGAACATTGCAACTCTGAGCTTTTGTGTTTCAAAGCCCTCCAGGGAAGGTTCTGGCGGAAAAATGCTTGAACGGAACATTGTGAAACATGGGTGAATGATATTGGGATGAAATACATGTATTCCTCTTGCTTCCACAAGTGTGGAGAGTTCACTTCTTAAAAATTTTCTGAAAGAGCATATAGTCTTACTCTAATAAATTATGTACAGAATGTTCCGTCTGTCTATTTTGACAGCAGAGCCAAGAAGCCATGGAAGAGAGTAGAAAATGGAGAGCAATCTGTGGAACGGAGAAAGAGATGAAGCGAGGGCGTCAATTTACAAGAAAAATCTAAGTTGAAATAAGGAATTATCCACCTGGAAATCCAAAGATGATAAAATTGCAGATTCCAAAAATAAGATGTAGGAAGTACACAGTAATGTTTAGAAACTGATAAACATGGAAGTTAAAAAATTATTCTCTCTGTGGTCATATGTAAATGGCTTGAATATATTCACTATATTTAATCTGCTATGAAAATTTTACAGTTTAAATTATTTTTACAGTCTTTGTTTTAAGGCATAATTTCTAATATGAATAAATACTCTTACCTTTATTTAGCAGTTTCAGAGGGCTTTTAATGTAAACAGAAGTAGTTCTGCATTCTAGAAAGTAGACTTTTTTTGTGGAAGCCAGATTCTTAGATGGTTTAGCCATTTGCCAGAGGTTTGGGGGCTCGGTCTGAGTTTGATCTTGAGAATTTGCCATTTTAGCAGGGCAGAACTGTGTTATGAACTAAATTAACTTCACAACAAAACTCTCAGAATTAACTGAAATATGCTTTTATAAAGATTTTAAAGTAAAGTATAAAAGATTTGGTAAAGACTAAGAGGGAGACTAATAAGATGGGTATTTTAATATTGCTTTCTGAGGAAACAAACCTCATACTAAATTGTTACATGTATGTGACTGCAAATCTTTGTCTCAGACATTTTTCCATTTTTGCATTTACCTGACCTTTGGTCATTCTTAGAACGTCATCAGTTTTGGAAGAGACCCCTTCAAACTTCTTTCTGTAACACTGGGATCCATTAATTATCTTGGTGGCACCCAGAACTGTGATTATAAAAGCATTTGGCTTCCTTGGAGCCTTTTCTTCAGTGTGGCTGTTCAGAATATGAGGATGGCTCAGATACCTTCCAGGGTGCCTTCCGTCTGAAATGATTCTATCATTCTATGAGAAACATAGTAATATTTTTTTCTATCCTACTTTATTGAGAATATCTTGCATAAATCTTGGGTGGTAATGGCATGATTTTTATTCTATTTAGGAATTTAATTTTTAATCATTAAACTTAAACAATGCTGCGGTGATTATAAATATGTATGCAGTTGGACATCACTTCACTTAACTGAGAGAGAAAAAGAAAAACCTAGAGTGTTACAAAATGTACTAAACAGACAAGAAACATCTTTTTAAAATCAAGGACTAAAGGCATTAAAAATGTTTCCCCCCCTCTAATTAGACAGTGGAGTTTCAAATTGTAGCACATGATGCCTTGTGGCAACATTATGCATGTTGTCTTAATTCAGAGGGATATTGTGTCCAGTTATTTTCTTCACATCTGGAAAAATACTCATAATCTCATCTTTTCCAAGTAAAAAAGTGGAAATTTTACATTTACTAGTTGTTCAATGTCTCCATAGTTTAGAGTATTAAATTTGATAGGACCATAAATTGAGCAGGGGCAAATGTTGTTATTCTGGTCTGACTTTTGCATTCCTTTAAAAAGGATTTCAATATTTAATTTTTGCAGCTGTTTAGTATTCATAGAATCATAGAATGCTTTGGGTTGGAAGGGACCTTTAGAGGTCATCTAGTCCAACCCCCTTCAGCGAGCAGGGACAGCTTTATTTTGTATTTTGTATTTGTATGTAGTATTGTTACCATACAGATGTGCAGGCGCAGGCTGAGCTGTACTGTGCCATGCAGCCTGCTGCACTGCACCACACAGATCCCTTTCCTGCGGGACAAACTCACCCATCTCCTTGAAACAGGGAAGCCTGTAGGCAGCTCCAGTTTGGTACGGGTGATTACTGTCCTGCTGGCCTTGCCTTATCTATGCAGCGAGAAGAGGTTCTCTTGGGAACATCCTTTTCAGTTGACAGTAGGAGTGAGGAATGGAGTTGGATTCTTTGGTAAAATCCTGAAAGAGCTCAAATAACCAAAATGAAGTAACTTTTCCTTGGACAGAACCTGCAGGCTGTGCTGTGCTGTGGTTCAAAGCCCATTCAACGCTGCAGAACTTGGGGTTCCCAGAATCTGAAGGGTTGTATGATTGTCTATACTATGCTCCTTTTCTTTTTAGTGTGATTTCAAAAAACAGCATCTTAAGAGATGCTTCATAGAACCTGAGTACCCTTCTGACTGGGATCATAAAGAACTAGCATCTGAATGATGCAGCTGAATTCACCTCTCCACCCTGAAAGGCCAACCCAACAAGCCAAAGGCAAAAGAAAATCACTAGCAACTTAATGTGCCAACATTCCCATCAGAAGATTGGGCTAAGTGTTAGGCCTAGTTCAAGGGAAAGACAAATAAATGCAGGAGGAAAAGCATGTGGCCATGAGGGCAATACTTGGCTGACCCTGGA